GAATTTTTCGAAGATATTCGTCCACTAGTTTTATTGTTGGAATGAAATATAGCAAGACTTGCATTGCCTACTAAGAAAGTTAGTAGCTGGTAGTCATCGGGTTAATGACTACAATATTACATCAAATCAAAAATTTGATAAAGTAATATTTGAAAAACATTTTACGTGTTGATTACCCTTTCTTGATACTGAAATATAAGATTTTCCCTACTTGCCTAATTTTCCTCTGTAAAACTGTTGTAGTGGGTCAGTTAGGGAATGGTGACTGGGCACAATTTTTGATTTTAAAGCAGTTTAATTTCTAACACCATCTAATAATGATGTGACAAAGAAATTAATGCTACTTTGACATTTTATTAGTTTCACATACTATTTTTTTTTTTTCTGTAGATTGTAGAATTCCTGGTTCATCATGGTGCTAGTCTTCTACAAAAGAATGCTAAATGTAAAACGCCAGTAGATGTAGCTAGATCTGATGATACAAAACTTTTTCTAAAGGAGCACGGTAATGTTGACTTTAGTGAAGAAGTGTTTACATAATAGCTTTTATTTTTTGTATTGTTATTAGAAATTTCTAAAGGATTACAGAAATATTGACTTTGGTAAAGAAGTGTTTGAAGAATAAATTTTATTTTTTGAATCACTAATAGAAAACTCCTCAATTTCATCATAGATAAATGTAGTTTTCTTTATTTATGACTTTGTGTTTGTCTAATGACAAATAAGTTGAAAAGAGCAAATGTCATAGCTATGTACAAAATAGTTTTAAGTCATAAAAATGTTTATTATTGTTATTTAAACCCTTATGGACTAGCTAGTTTTTGTAATGAATGAGACTTGTAACAATGAAATTTGTTTTGTTATAAAAGATTAATCGGTTCACATGAAGTTGTATCTATCTTAAGAAATATTATCTGTGAAATATTACAGATTAGCAAAGCCTAATTGTCTATGTCTCCTGTTTCTTAATAACCTGTTATAATTTTTATATGCATAGTATTATATTATATATTGTAAAAATTTACATTTTATACTGTTTTGGTACAGTTTTGTAAAGTTGGGTATTTATTATTTTATTCAGTAAGCACTCCTAGGCGCTGTGGGAACACCTGCGGTGTTCGGCTCTTTGCAGTCTCAGCAGCCAGCAAGACGACCAGCACCTTGACCAGCAAGGCTGGCTCTGAGCTCTGTTCACCTACCATGAGAAAAAATTTACCCCATAACCAGACACAAAAAGGTAAGACAGAATTAAAAGTTTCATTTTGCAAAACATTGGCTACTTTATTTTCCTCAATTTTAAATAAGAAGCCTTCAACATATTCATTGACCTGTTTAGAAGAGAATGAATTTAGCCTTGGCATTTGATTAGGTGCAGAAGGATTTCATACAAATATCAGTATATTTAAAGCGAGAATTTAACTCAAAACCTGTAGCTGTAGGTTAATGAACTACTGCTTTGAATCTATGGAAGACCTTTCACATTTTAGTTTACTTTGTTTAGATTGAGTATAAAGATACACACACAGAGACAAATTAATGCTTTACAATTAGCTCCCTTTTTATATTTGTAGAAGTTTGAATCTTAAAATATGAAATAGGTGTGTTAGATATTGACAAATTTATAATGGCAAATATGTTATTTTTTACTTAACAAATGCAAGATTAGATTGAAGAAATCCACTGTGTTATAAATTGCCATTGAAGCAACACTGTACAGTCTAAGTTTATATTTTTACTTTTATGTCAGGCCTTTTCTTACCATATATTATGCATTTTGCATTGAAATGGGTAATATGAATGGCATCCAGTGAGTGTTCATAAATATATATTATTATTTTATTAATAATTAGGTGCTGAAAAACCAACTTCCCCCCGGCTGACTCTTCGTTTCCAGTCTATCAAGCCAAGAGATGATAAAAACCCTAACTGTGCTAAAGCACAAGAACTTAGTTCTGTACACCCACGATATCAGTCATACTGTGTCACAATGGAAGCAAGAGGTGATGTTTATGAATTTGATAAAGACGATACTTCTGTGTCTTCATCTCATGTTGTGACATCTGCAACAGACAATGATAATCAAGACCAGAAGCTTGATATTGTGACAAGTAGTAGTAAAGATGCAGAAGCTTCTGTTGAAAAAGAATGTAAGAAAAGTGAAGCAGAGGCTAGCATAGTTGATGAAGTAAGACAAGAGAATCCAGAGCTTGAACTCATGGGAAATCAGAAGGTTGGTGGAGGTCGAGGAAATGTGCATGACAGTGCAAATGCTGAATACGAGTTTAATAGTGATGAAGATAAAGAAGAGACTAAACGAAAGAGGAGAAAAAGTTCTGATAATACAAATTTATCCAAACTTGTTGTATCATCCCATGTTGGATTGCAAAAGCAGCGAGGCCATGGGGTCAAAACATCTTTTCAGGAGGGGCTTTGTGAGCAGCAAAGTCCAAAGACTAGAAAAATTGGTGGTGGCTCAAGCTCTGATACAGAGAGTACACAAAGTGATGGTGACAATGAGGCTGAGCAGAAGTACCCAGCTTCAGAGCCTTTACCTGCTATACCAAGAAACATGAATATTTCCCCACCAGTTGGACCACACTCTCCTAAAGTACCACCATTGAAAATTGTTCTTCCTTCTGGATCAGGAGGTTTAGAAAATGACCATAAAGAGAGAAGCAAAGTCTCTTCTTCTAAACAAGCCCTTCCATACATTGTTAATACATCTTCAGAAGGAGGGGAGAGTAATTCTCCAGAGAGCACATCTGGAAGCACCCAGCCTGAAAGTGCCACCAAAGAAAATGGAATGAATTATAAAGTGGAGTCATCAACATCTAAAGGAAAAGAAGAAGAAGAAAAGTGTCATCGTGTAACACGAAGTAGCCAGAGAATGCAGGCTGCCCAATCTAATGTCAGCTCAACACAGAACCAGAATTTGGAGGCTAGTTGCCATTCATCGGTAGCATCCACCAGTACCCAAAAGAGCGAAGCATCAGGTGAAACCTCACCAGATGAACAAGGTCAGCACACTCAAGTTGATGTTCATCCAAGAAAAAGGAAGCTTCGTCATCGAGATGGCCCATCAGACTTAAGCAACCAACAACCATCAGGTTCTGCTCCTAACCTTCAGGATGATCAACAATCTCATCAGATGCTCAATTCTTATGAGATGTACCTTAATATAAGAAAACAGGTGAGTGTTTTTTTTTAAACCACCCTAATTTGTCTTATTCAATTTAAACTTTTTTCTCATTTTTTGAATTGAGAAACATCATCTTAAACTTCAGACTTCTTAGCTTGTTATTAACAGCATGATCATAGGAAAGCTATTTATAGAATGTTTTTTTTTTTCAGATTGTAAATATACTTTGTATTTGTTATTATGCTGTAGATAATTGAACATGTCTGTTTTTGGTCATCCTTCTTGTGAACTCTTTGCTTTATCATATTCATGATATTAAGACAACATATAACATAAGAAAAAAAACAACACATATATCACTAAACAAGAAACCCAATAGGTCAAGTACTTTTCAAATGTAGGCCTTCCAAAGCACTTTCTTTAGTGATCTGCATACATTAAAATGGCATTTTTCCTTAACCCACATGGCAAAGAGTCATACATTTATTTCCGCCTTTTGTCTTCAGGGTTCAGTATGTGTGTGTGGTGTAGTTTGGTCTTTATAGTGGATTGTGGAGGATGTGTTATGATTGGTTGGTTAAAACATGTTTCTGATTGGAGGAGAGACTTCCTGTAGCCTCAACCAATGGTGGCCACACTTTACTCACCTCTAATCATGAATCTCTGTTTAGTTAAGGTCTTATTGTGTTAATGTAAAACGATTCATTAATTTTTCCTGTCTTCCAAAATTTGTCTGTGTTGATGATTCTAGCTTTTTCCCAGTTTATGTTGTGTCCAGTTGATATGGCGTGTTCAGCAATGGCTGAATTTTGTGTTTTCGTGAGTATTGTGCTGTCTTTATGTTCCTTTATTCTTGTCGCGAGTTTTCTTCCCATTTCTCAAATGTATGTTTTGTTGCAGGAACACAGAATTTCATAAATGACATTTTTCTGTTTTTTGTTGGAGGTTTCTGTTTGTTCTTCACCAGAATGGACCTTAGTGTTTTGTTAGATTTCCACCGGACGTCTATGTTGAATTTCTTAGCTTTTCGTTTGAGTTTTTCACTGACATTTTTCAGGTATGGGAGGTATATGGTTGTAGTGGTAGTGGTTTCTTTATTTTTTTTTGTTGTGGTCTTCTTCAGGTAGTTCTTGATGAAGGAAGAGGTGTAACCATTCTGTTTAAAACACTGTATGATGTTTTGGTGTTCTGTTTCGATACATGTGTTATCGCAAATGTTTTCTGCTCTCCTTTTTAGGCACTGGATTATACCACGTTTTATCGAGTTTGGTGATAGAACTGGAAGTGTAGGTATCTATTCGTGTGGGTGGATTTTCTCTATATACAGTTGTGGTGATTTTTACCTCTTGTCTGCTGATCAGTATGTCAAGAAATGATAAGCTATTCTGTTCCTCTATTTCCATGGTGAAGTGAATATTCTTGTCTATGGAATTAAGGTGTTGTAAAAAGGGCTCTTTCTTCAAAGTCTTCCATGAAAATGTCTGCTAAGATTAGAGAGAGTGGTGATCCTATGGCTAGACCATCTGTTTGTTCGTAGAATTCCTCGTTGTATTGGAAATAAGTTGATTGTAGGCACATAGCCATTAGTTTCATGATGGCGTCTATCTTCATGTCATTTGTATGTGGTAGAGAGTTGTCATTCAGTAGTCGTTGTCTGGTGATACGAAGGGTTTCTGAGGTCGGAACATTGGTAAATAGGTCTGTGACGTCAAAACTGACTAGAATATCCTTAGATCTGAAGTGTGGTTTTTTTAATTGTTCTATGAAATCTGTTGAGTTGTGAATGTGATATTTAGTATTCCCTCGTAGTGGAGATAAAACAGGTACCAGGAATGTTGCTAGTGGATGGCAAGGTGAGTTTATAGCACTGACGATAGGCCTTAAAGGTATATTAGGTTTGTGTATTTTAGGTAGTCTATAGAATTGAGGGGGGGAAATTCTCATTGGTTCTTAAGTCTTTGGCTAGCTTCTCGTTGATTAAGTTTTGTTTCCTAAGTTTGTTCAGTGTTCTGTTGATGAGTCTTTTCTGTAGGGTTATTGGTGATCTTTTTGTATTGGTGTTTGTCTAGTAACTGCTTGATCTTCGAGTCATAATCTTTGACGTCTAAGATGACTATACTGTTTCCTTTGTCTGCTGGTAGAATCTTGATAGTGTCATCTCGTCTTAGACGATTCAGTGCGTTCTATTCCTGTTTGGTGATGTTAGGTTTTGGTTTCTTGGCATTCCTTTCAAAACGTTGTCCTCTACATTGTAGGTTTCTACAACAGGCAGTTGCTGTCCATTTGAAACTTAGATGCATTATGAATACTCTGCCTAAACAACCTATCAAAGAATATTTCTCAAGTTGCTGTTTTATTAGGATCCTGCACAGTGTGTGTGGATTACTTTAGAACAACCCAGAGTAAAAAAAGGTTCATATATTGGTGACATTGGCCACCTAAATAACCCACATCTATGGATTTTAGGGAACCTGTTTGAAAGAATGTTACATCTGAAGGTTTCTCAAAGAAAATTCTGATGCATTGTTTGCTACATGCATCTCCTTAGTATCTTAATGTTCAACATG